CACACACACACACACACACACACACACACACACACACACACACAAATGCATATAATTTGTCTTTCCAGAGTTACCTTGTCACTTTTGTGGACAGAAATGCTGCTGTTTAAATTTTAAAGAGTATATTTTGCATTTTCTGTATGACCAAATTCTACCAACGGTGAGCGAGAAATGTGGGGTTGATTCATTATAGTTCATGTGAACTGAGCCTTTGTGTTTATAGACCTCGTTCAACACTGAATCATTTGCACTTTTGAGATGTTGAATAAAGAAGAATGTGAACCAGCCTGCCTCAACATCTGGAGTAAACTAATCAGGAACGCTTTCTTGCTTTGGTACCGATTGGTAATAAGATTTAATTCTTAAATAACATACGGTTTCTTCTGTTGGTGGTCAGGCCGTGTTGGTCTCAGTCATAAATCTTTGGTATGAGTGAGATCAGCAACGACAAAAAATAAAAAGGATCTTTTTCATATCACATCATATCTGTGTCTTTCAAATCTCTCAGAGTGGTCCGGGCCTCCTCTTCTGCATCGACTTTTCTATTGATTTCTGGGATGTGACTGAGTGAGCGCTCGGTAGGAGGACAATTATGCAAAGGGGGGACGTGGGAGGAGACAGACTGAGCCATGGACAGAAGTCCTTCACTTACACTGTTGGCAAACCCTGAACAATGAGCTTACAGGGTTTTCTTTTCTAACAAATAAATGCATCAATGAAGTGATGGAAGGTCGAGGCTGATGTGGACGTTTAAGACTAAGTAAACTTGGACTTGTTTGTACACCGATCATTGCACTTCTGCTGAGAACTGAGCTATTCATATATGTTTCACAGTACTTATTTTCATTTGAGTTTCCTTTTTGGGCACATAATGATTTACGGTGTCTTGTTTCTTGATTCTTCTGCATTTCTTTGCATTGAAACAGAGCTACCACGCTGTACCAAACAATTACCACCAGCTCTGTTGCCTGGCAACATCTCGTATCTCGTATAAATGTGATATCAGATGAAAACAAAACTGACATGCCCACGATGTGCATTAAAGACAGTTTTTGGTCACTTGTTCCTCCTCCTAGGAGACCAGATGGAGAAATAGCACAAGATAAAAAAAGAAAAACAATTCGGTTTCATCGATTAAATGTTGTAATAAAACCAAAAAACAGAGAAAATCAAATGACTAATTATCAAACATAAAAGTCTCATTCAGAAAATGCCCATTAGATTAACATCATCCGTGTGAAAAAGTAATGAGAAAGTCAGTTTGTATGTCGTTTCAAACCAGAATGAATGCAGCAGTCGGGTGTGTGGGTGTGCTTAATGTCCGAGGAGGATAGAAGATGAGGAGGGTAATGCGTTAACCTGAGGCAGGAGATAGGAGGATAGGAGACCTGTCTTCATTTTTGGTGGTCCAACCGAGTCAAGTGGTCCACATCTGCATCCTATAGCTGGACACCCCCGCTCCAGGGGATCAGCACATTTCCAACCCGGGGAGGTCCAGGAAATCCAGCCAGCTCTCAGAACTACTCTACTGCCACTCTGTTTACTTTTACAAACACGCACTGTTTGTTTGTTTCTTTTTGACAAAGATGTCCAGGAACTGGATACAACTTTTACTGATCTCCTGCCTCACTTGTCTCCATGCTTCCTTGATTAGTTTGTTTCTCCTTGTCCTGGCTCACAGCTGTGCCTCATTTATCTCATCACTTTTCTCCACCTTAGGTTGATAAGGGCTACTCCATGTTTTTCTTTTCCCCCCTTTCTACTACAACTATCTTGTGTATGACTGACAAGAACCAAGAAAATACTTGACTTAGAAAAAGAGTGAAATTGATAAGAATGAAATAAGTGGAGTAAATGATGACTTCTGTGCTGCTCTTCTAGCAGGTTACCAGAAGGGTGCAGCAGAGTTCCAGAATCTGTGAGCAGCACAGCAGATTTTACATCCTGAATATCCATTTCGCTGCAGTCGGCCTTGACCCAGTGTGCAAGAACACCCGGGAAACTGTACATACAGCACTGAACCCTGCAGGGAAAACAGGTGTGAGCAGGTGTGATGATGGCCTTGTTCTGAAGAGAAAACTCTCTCCACAATACCTTTTCTTCTGGGATATGATGCTCCAGCCGACTCGTGTCTCAGCCTCTTCTTCACATTTTGCTTTTGATTCACGACCAAACATCTTGTTTGTCGCAACTGGGAAGTCCAGACAGAAGAGTCCATCACTGGAACCCCCCCCCCCCCCCTCTTTCCTAACTGATTCCATAAGAGTGTTGGCTGAACTGAAGCTTTTGCGTTCAGATTAGGACATAGTGGGGAAAAAAGAAGACAAAAAAAAGTTATTGCTGCGACCTTGCTTTGTTTTCCAAATTGCAGGTGGTGTTCAGAATAATTTGTGGCGACTCGGAAAAAGCTGCTTCGAGTGTTTCGGTGTCACCATCCGAAGCCGGACCGGAGCTTGCAGAACACAAAAATCTCTGGAAACCATCTCCCTTAACATGTGCTCAATGCAGCCCCAGCCCAATAACAACTGAAGAATGCTGCTGGTCTGTGTGCTTTACTGCTTGTGGAGCTGCTTCACTTTTTCCATATGCTGCAGCAGCAGCTTGGACTGGACGGCCTGGCAGTGTGGGGACCCTCACACTTCGGCCTCCAACCGATTTGTTGTCCCTGCTCCAAATGCACATATATATAAATATATATATATATATTAAATAATATATATATGTCCAGCTGAAACTACGCCGCACTCCGCAGGCCGTGCCCAGCGTGGCTCGTAATTACGGTGCCGGGGTACGGGGCCTTTTGTCCAACCCCTGAGTAGCGCCCTGCTATTTGTGGTGCACAATCTGTCTCGGACTGCAGCCCCGGGATCCATCTGCCTCCCATTTGCCACGTATTTCCAGAGCAGGAGACGTCTGGCTCACCGGTGCATTTTCTCATGGCGATGTGAAATAGTGTGAGGAGAGCTGCTCTGTGTGCGTGCGTGCGTGTGTGAGTGCGCGCGTGCGTGCACGCGTGTGCACATGCAGGCAGCACAATGTCACCTTGACTACGATCCACAGGAGGCGATGAGGGCGCACCGCATCTGTATACGCCACCGGACAGAGGAGAGGAGAGGAGAGAGAGAGGGAGTAGAAGGTATTTACGCGTGTCGGAGCGTGTGAGTGTGTGTGAGAAGGAGTATATGCCAAATGTGTGAGTGCGCGCGTGTGTGTGTGAGAAAGAGAGAGAGAGAAAGAGAGAGAGAGAGAGAGAGAGAGAAAGACTGAGGCGGGTATAGCTCTCTCTCAGACAGCTCACACAGTGCTGGAGGATCCCTCTTCACATCCAGGCGGAGCTGAACGCAGAGATGTCAGGCGCAGCACACACAGGTGGGTCACGCAGCGGCAGAGGGGACAGGTGAGACGGGCCGGAGCCGCTCCAAAAGGGTTTCATGCTTCCTCATATAGGGCTGTTTTTTCTTTCTTTCAGTGTCAGAACTGCAGTGTGCTAATGCAGAAACAAACGGGGTATTTTTTTTTTTTTAAATTTGGGGGGGGGGGGGGGGGGGGGGGGGGGGGTGCAGGTATAGAGGCTGAGCAGGCCTGCAGTCATGGCCTAAGGGTCATCAGTGTTGGTCAGGCGCTTTGGAAACAAAAATGTGAGATTGTGGGGAATCACAATGAGGCAAATAACCACAGATACACACAAAAAACTATTTTATTGGATTTTTCTTTTTTTTTAAAGCTGCTAATTTGTGCATTTTCCACTTCATAAAAAAACACGCTCTTTAGCTGTCACCAGTTTATTTCCCATGCTGATTTCATAGTGTTTAAAATTCAAGCCAGAAAGAAAAAAGAAAAAAGAAATGTGGGCGAGCTCTCCTCCTTCCCGCAGATGTCCAGGTGAGTTGGAGGGTCCCTCGGCCTGCTCACAGACAGCGCGCTACACAGACCTTCAAACAGCCGCAGAGGGGCCTTAAAGCCCCCGCCCCCCATTCAACCGTAATTGCATTTGTCGCGACTGTAGCGGAGTAAAAATAAAATAAAACCCCGCCGCCGCATCCTCTACTCTCCGTCATCATGTGACTCCGCCGGGGCGAATGTATATCTGTGTCCTTTTCCTTCAGCCGGAGAAATGCAGCCTCGGCCAATCGTGTCGCGAGTGAGGGCGCCCCCACTCTCCCTCTCATTTTTCTCGCTCTCTCTCTCTCCCACGACGCCTTCAGGTGACGTAGCAAAATTTGGAACCCAGGAGTTTTTTGGGGGAGGTTTTCACATGTGAGTCGGGTTGTGTGTTTGAATTGAGCCGAACATGTTTATTTACGTGGACACCTGGTGAGGCTCGTTATTGCACGTTATTCGCTTTTTCGTGCTGGACTTATTGGACTTATATACTTTTCGATGCCTTTGCGTGATGTGGGGAATTTGGAACCAGAGTTTTTGTTCACATATGAGCGGGGTTTCATGTTTGAACTGAGCTGAAATGTTTATTTGTGAGATTCGTCCACATGTTATTCGCTTTATTGTGCTTTCGTTTGACTTCTACTTGACATGGAAACCTGCAGAGTGTCAAAAACCATCGATGTGATGTAAGTTAATGTAATCGACATTTTTAATACACATTTATTTTTCACTACCATATAGCTCGATCTTGTAAATAAAAATAAACACACTCAACCCAGACGATACATTTCCAGAAGTAACTTTTTATAAAGTAGTTTCACACTTTATATACTTAAAATAATAATAAAAACAAAACAAAACGCTACAACACACAGACAAGTCGCACTTTCACTAAAACGTCTGGAGAAAAAAAATACCAATTTTACCGGATGCCCATGAAGGCATCGCGAGGCCCTGTGACGTCAGGCGCTCCCCTGCGCTCCCTCTAGCAGCCAGTCAGAGAAGGGATGCTCTGAACGCAAAGACTGCAGCATCTTCGCCGAGAGAACGAGCAGGAAAAAAAAGAATACACCGTCTCTACTTTCTCTCTCTCGCTCTCTCTCTCTCTCTGTGTGTGTGTGTTCCTCTGGACCCTCTTCACGCAGCCCCGTCACCCCTGGGTGTCTTCATGATCGGAGCCAGGACAGGATAAGAAGAAAGAAATTATAATAGCCCCACCATCGGATTTTCATATTTTTTTGTTTTGTATTATAGCTATAAATGCTTCGCCGACCTTTTCCCTCTCTCTTCGGTTGAGTCTTCTTTCGGTTCTTGTGTTATTTATTGTTCCGTTCCGCTGGCTGTAGCGGAGGAGCGCCACCGTCCTTGCACTGCCTGACATGAGTACGCTCTTTTTCTTCTCGCTGCAGCGGAATGACACACATATCCGAAGCCTGATGGAAGATTGACGCTCCTGTTTGCACGTTGTTTCTTTTCTCAGTAGCCTAGATCATTGTCCATTGCAGAGTTTTTTTTATTTTTTTTAGGATTGTATTCCCCCCCCCCCCCCCCCCCCCCCCACCACCACCAGCACCACCTCTGACTCGATCATCCGTCGCTCCAGCGTTTCTTTCTTTTCTGTACCCTGCGCAGCATCTCTGCACGCAACGGGCGCACCACCGCGGAGAAAACGCGCAGCTAATCCTTCGCCGTCCGCAAGAAACAGGCGTATTTTTTTTCCTCTCCTCCAATTGCTCAAATCGCTTTCGCCTTTCTGCAAGGACTCCCATCTGTACGGCTACACGCTGCGAAGAATAAAAAAACAAAACAACAACGGGGAAAAAAGGGGGATTTAAACGCAAACGTAGCCCAAGCATCCAAGAGCGAGCTCGAAAATGATGGCCGGCGGAGCAGTACAGCAAAACGGGATTTTCTCAAATCCTCACCATCACAATCAACCACCGCACATGGAGTCCGATCCCCCGGACTCGCGCAAAAGACCCCTGGAGACTCCGACGGAGGCCAGCAGCACCAAACGCACAAACACAGGAGGTAAGAGCGCCGGGGTGTTTTTTGGGGGAGATGCAGATGGGAGCTGTTCGGGCTTCTTCTTTTTTTTTGGTGAACGCTGCTCCGTCCTGAGGCGGGCGGAGGGAAAGCGGAGCAGGTTGATCTGATTCTTATACACGGTGGCGTGCTACGGCTCGGATTCATTTAGGTTTGTGGTCCAATTACGCAGTGATGTAAATATATAGAGAGGTTTTCTTTATTCTAATGACCGCTAATTTCCATTAAAATAACGACGGGCGCCGCTGTTTATTGTGGAAAGGAAACAATGAGAGGGACTGAGCTGAGTGGGGGGATTTGGAGGGAAGTCAACAGCCCCCCCTCGCTCACATCCCGACTGTTTCAGATCATCTGAATTGGTTGTTACGGTTTTTTTCATTATTACAATTTCTTATTGCGTCTTGAGATTCACGCGCAGCCTCAGCGGCCATGCTGCGAGCCAGAACGAGGATGTAAACAAGCAAGAGCCAGATCGGGCTGGTGCGCGATCCGCATGCAGGCTCTCATCCCCCCCCCCCCCCTTGTCGACGGATGACCTTGTGATAATCTCACACATCAGCCACCGTCGCCGCTTTTGTGTACAATTACATAAAGCGGATAAACAAGCGGGCTCGCGTTATAACAGCGGCGGGCCCCGTTTGCGTGCCGCTAAGTAACAAGAGCGGGGGGGTTGAATCCGGAGCGGCTCAGAATGCGACAGCGTCTCTGTGTCATTGCAGCATTGTCAGTCGGATGCCAAGTATATATTTTGGATCATGCTTTGCTGTCCCGATTGGAATAACCCGCAGCTGGAAAGGGGAGATGTATTGTATTTGTGTTGTTCTCTCTAAATTGTCCAAGCATTGTTTACTTCATTTGTTCTCTGGTTGGATGAGATATACACGGACATGTCACCATGGTAATCACCATATTTGGTTTTTTTTGTTTACATGCTGTCATGCGCCAAGCATTCCCCATCAACCCGGCATTACAAACCATCAGTATAGCCTCTCCTGGCCATGCACACCCTCCATCATGGACATTCGGACACACACTGCAACTATAAAATGTGTTATTTTACAGAACACCCGGAAGGGGCGCGGGTGACGACTTGGGAGATCTTCTATGCAAGACTCCCTTATACGTGTTTTTTAGTCAAATTTCTGGATTTTAGGCTAACCCACACTTTTAGTGCAGACTGTTAATGTGAACATGGAATAATAATAATATGTTCATGCAGGAGTCAGAGAGTCTTTTTTTGGTGATTTGCACCTTTAACACTAAGATTAGACAGGTATTTGTCATATTCAATGAATAAAGTTGCATGCTATGCATTGGACGTGTATAAATTTGACTATTTTTTATGTAAAAATAAAAAGGAAAAAACAACAACTTTCGCCCTATATTTTTCCTGTCCAGGCAGAAAAGTCTCCAAAACAATGTCCAGACCATAATGGGACATTAACACACAGATTGATAAAAACAATGTTGAATGTTAGTACATCCCTACAGCCAAAGGCAAAAATCAGAGATTCATTTAGAAGAAAAACAATTATCTGATAATAAGAAAATTGTGTGTCACTGTAGGTTTTTTTTCTGCAGGTTTGATCAGAGAAGAGCCTCCCTCATATTACAGGATGTATTTACCTACTGAGCCTCACATTTCCCTCACCACGCTCTACGCGGTGGGTGATCCACTAACTGTGATGTTCTCAGGACGTAAAGTCTTAACGGCATAGAGTTTGAGTGGCCTGTCCCCTTTTAGTGCACAATGACAGGTGTCAAAATTACAAAATAAAGAGTCTAAAGTGGGACCCATAAAGAGTTCTGAGGATCAATATGTTTTTATCTTTTTGTAGATTTCTGGGTGACCTGGCCCCTTTTCTCTTGAAAATGAAATAAAAGAACGACAGCCGTCCTCGGGGGTGATAATTAGACGGAGAGAGTGTGCCCGGCTGAGGAGAGGGGTTGGGGGGCTCAGGTTAGCCATGCGTTGTTTAACTGCAGGTCGATGCACTCGGAGCACTAAAGGCTCCTCCTTGCCGCGTGGCGGGCACTCAAGGGGACCTTCCTCCTGCCTGCATAACGGTCGGACAGGCTCGTCCATTTAGACAAATGAAAAGGTTGGGACGATGACGATGATGATGATGAGCATAGCCGACCAGGCTTTTACTCGGGCAGAGAGGGGCGGCCTCCCTCAGCCAGCAGCATCAGCATGATGTCACTTGGTTGAGAATCCTTCGCCCTTAAAGATAATCAGCAAAGAGCAATAAGAGCTTGGCTGCAGGTCTTTTATGAGAATCTTTGCACTGACTGTTAATTCAGATCTGTTTTATTTTGTTGTTGTTTTAAGTATTTTGTTTCTATTATATAAATGATAGAAATCATTCTTTTTATTCTACTGATAATAAGGTGGAATAGAGTATGTTTTTGTGTTGATGTTTTTTTTCAAGCTGCGCTCAGGCCGCAGTTTTAAAAGTTCACAAAGTCAAAGTGCTGATGAGAGATCATAACAATGGCTGTTTCTCTGTATGATTAGCTCACGCCACACAACCCCCCCCCCCCCCCCCCCCCCCCCCCACCCCTGTGCTTCCTCTCTCTGTAGTGGCCTTCCTGCAGCCCCTATTTGAAACTGAAGGCATTGTATTCCCTCACCAAGAAACTGAGACTCATGGTAAGAGAGACTTTGCTTTTGATCTTCTACCTGTTTTTTTTTTTTTTTTTTTAAATCTTTACTGTAACCTTCTTCAATGCAGGACTGATTCAGCAGCGCCAACACGAAACATTTTAAATGTCAGGGCGATGACATTCAAATAGGATATTAAAGGAACACCCTCATGTGTTCTGCTCACGGTCCAGGATAATGCATGCTGATACTGTTTATATATTGTGTTATCAGTTCCATGACATCCATTTTCATGCTTTTTTACACAAACTCAGTGTTTCATTTTTTTATCATGGTGCCCAACATTACCGCACTCACAAATGAGCTCTGATGACCTTTGACCTCATGCCAGCCATATCATCAACACATTCGGGTTTATACGATCTGCCGCCGCCGCTGCTGCTGTTGCTTTTCTGCTGTTGCTTGTCTGCTGTTTTAAATGTTGTTTCTGCGCGTGTGATGTGTGATGGCTTGTTGGGTGATGCTACTGTGGTTTTAACCCTTTTTTAATTTTTCACAGCTATATATTGAAACTTAACGTGCGGAGCCTTTTAAATCAAAAATATTTCCCTTCATCAGAGCAGAAGATATTTTTCCCAGATCTGCGTGACTGAGAAGCGAGAGTAGACTTTTAATTCATTGAAGACGAGGAAAGACGTCCTTTTCTTTCTTTTTTTCCGACTGGGCATCCGGGCTGGTTTGTGTCCCCGGGTTGACTCCAAACGTGTGTGAGGGACATTAGAGAAGACAAGCTGGTCAGCTGTTAAGACAGAAGCCCAAGCCGTCGGGAATCTTAAAAGCTGAAGGTCTTAAAGATGAAACGATCAATAAGTAGCTTCAGTATACTGCAGCCGCCCGGCCCCCACCGGCCCCTCTAATCCACCAAACCAAAACCCATTCTTATCTCCGCTGCCCCTCGCCCCGATCCAGCAGGGTTCCTCCCCCCCACATTAAAGGAATTCTGGTTTCCATCTAATCATGCACATATATGATCAGAGACGCTCAATGAGCCCGTTGTTAATATTTGATTTACTTTCAGGGGTTTTAAACTTGGATCATTTTCAAAGCCAAACTTGATCAGGGTTGGCTAAAATTAGTAAAAAAATCTCCCCGTCGTTTCATAATTTAAGGATCAGTGTTTCAAATAAATTTATTTGGAGAACAGACTCAGAAAGAATGCGTTCTTTTCCTGTTAAGCAGCATCTTAATCTGAATATCTGATTATCAGCAAAAAAATTTTTACAGCCTTTTTTACGCATCTTTTACAGTTTCAAGGGGGGGATTCAAGATATGAGGATATCCAGTTTGAAATGAGACATTAAATATGTTACTAAATCACTTTATTTGTGTGCACTTTATAAGTATCTTATGAGCTTCGGTGCAGAGATGCACTAACAGTTAAAATAGAGTTGTAGCATTTATGACGTACACAAGTTGTAAAGGTGAAAGCATATGTCTTTACCCAACTTTTTCTTGTTAATCTTTTATAAAAAATATATACAGAGAGTAAAAGTTTGTCTTTCCTTCTTTTGAAGTGTAGGGCACTGGAGCCAGGACATAAGGCACAGAAAAAAAGTCGTAGCAATATATTGTGATCATAAAATATTTACAATATAGCATTTCTTGGCCACAAAATGATAAGAATTCACTATTTTCATTGCAGATTTTAGTCTCTTCTTGGTGGAAAACAAAACAAGGCTAAAACCTTCCATCGTTACTCCAAACTGATATTTGTTAAAGGTATATTGTATATAGTATATCCAATACTTCAATATAACAGCAGCCTCTCAGTAGACCAGAAATGACTCGGATTGAGCCCATTCAAAACAAATGCAGCTTTTTCCGGGTGAAAACAAAGAAAAGAAAAACTGCTTGTATAAGCCATTAAGAAGTCTTATATAAGCACAAACAAAATAAATTGGATGGTGTTTTTTTTTCTTCTTCTCGATTTTCATGTAGGTGGTCAGAAAAATGAACATGCGAGCGCGGGAGCCGCCCACAGGTTTAACAGTCAGGGGAAAAAGTTTGCTGACCCTCTCGGCCCTTTCATCACTTTGTGTTGCCGTCTCTCCTATCCTGTCTGCGAGATGTAATGCATTCATTTAGCAAATGGATGGACTGGCAAGGCGGCATTAGGGAGGAGGAGGAGGAGGAGGCGGAGGAGGGGGGCCTTGAAATGCCCTTGCCAAGTGACATTAGGGGACTGGCAAGACGTTTTCTGTCTGTGTGCGTGTGTGCGTGTGTGTGTGTATGTGTGTTATCCTTGTGTTTCATGGTCTGACTTTAGTTGGAAAAAAAGCAGAGACGCAGTTTAAATGAGAGAGGCGGAGGGGGGCGCCCAAATGACGGATGCATGCACGCACTCGCACACTCGGCACACGCACAGTTATGCGCACACTGTGCCGTGAGCCCAGGCTGCGCTGCAGACGGGGCCCTTTGACGCTATTGATCCGAGCGTCTTCTGTTGCTCCTGGAGCTGAGCTGGAGCATCTTTTTTTTCGGGGGGGGGGGGGGGGGGGGGGGGGCGGTAGAAAAAGGGGGCGCCGCCCCCCCCCCCCTCCTTGTT